CCCTGGCAGGGGGCTGAGTAGGCAAAGCTGTCCATCACCCTCCCCTGAGGCTGTACCTTTGAAATTCAAGGCCATGTTGGTGGAGAGGAAAGAGAATGCCCGCAAGGGGATCATTCTTTTGAGGAGGAAACCACTTCCTAACAGGTTTTCTCTCTGTAGGTGATTCAGGACAGAAGTAGAACAAGTTTATCTCTTTTCCTTCTTAACTTAATCTCATTTTTGTCTTCTTTACCTAGAATCACGTTTTTCCAGGCCTGTATGCCATACTTATTAAGCATGAAGGAAATGGATTTATCACCAAAGGAATGGATAATTTTTTAAAGCAATACCCTGAAACACATTATCGTGAGACATAATACATTGCCCTGTACCCTCTCTACCAGAGGCTGACAGTGTGTGTTCCTGTGTCTTATTCTCTCTAGCAACCACGTCACCTAGCACTTAGCAAGACAATCACTTTACCGGGCAGCAAGTTGAATCAATGCTTGGGTGAATCAAGGTTTCTCACTTTTGCTTCATCTGCAACACAGATTCATTTTCCATCAGATTTTTCCCTGCACCAGGAGTTCATGGACACCCAGCGAATGAAAATTAATTATATTGACATTTCTCAAAAAATAAGGATGAATAAAAGGATGGATAAAAATATAAACATTTTACTTGCCAGAATATAAATTATGATCCCAATCAATCGCTCTCATCTAACATGGATGGGTTTCTAGTTTTTTTTTTATTAAATTATTTAGAGCACACAGCTTGCTCTGTTCGCCCATGTCCTTGAGAGCTGACTAAACCCTTTATCTGAGGGTTTAGACAAAGGTCTGATTCTAGACCCTGGATAAGATTTGGCCCAATTTGAAAACTGATTATAATAAAAATAAATGAGTTTATTTTATCTATTTTGTTGGGGCTGGATTGAACCTGGGGCCTTGTGCATGCTAAGCACACACCCTGGGCTACACCCTGAGCTCAACAAGGGTTTTTAGTCAGCTTCCGCTCATAAAACCCTAATCCACTCCTTCAGAATGTAAAAGAGACCTCACATCAAGAAGTCTTGGAAGTTCCTTAGAGCCCCACTTAAACTTTCTGTTAGCATCAATTAGAAAGGGTGGCTAATGGGGCTACACAACACTGATTTATGTAGAGAGTGTCATATGTTTGAGAGCTGCCTTGGCAAGGAACTGTGCTAAACTTAGAGATACACACTCCATGCCCACTGGGCTCACATAAAAGGGAAAAATACGCAATAGGGGTTTACCTCAGTGGGGTGAGGCCTAATATTTTCCAGATGTTGACACCACAAGAGAGTTCAATAGAAAAAGATGCTCAAATATTAAATAAGCAATGAATATACATCAAGCCACGATCTGTTACATTTCTTTACATCTGTGCTGGGAGTGTCTCTTGTCCCTAGCTGCAGATGGGGTGGTCTTCTCTGTCAGTGGGAGGCCCTATTAGATTTCCCATTAGGAAGATTATTCTGGCAGGGCAAATTCTAGAACCTGAACATTGTCCATAAATAGATTCAGGACTTCCCTTGGGATGAGGAAGGGGGAAGGAGAAGAGAACAGCAATGGAGAGGTTTTTCTTGAATTCTTGAATTCAACAGTCAAGCTGCACGGATTGCATGTGAATGATCAGCCATTTCCTTCTGAATCTCCTTGGGAAAGGTCAGAAAACAGCATTAGAAAGTTAGAAAGCATAAAATGGCGTTGATTACAAATGATGATTATGAAATCACTCTGAAAAAAGCTGGCCAGACTCCAGAGAGTCAATTATAAGACAGAAGATGGTCCAAAGGGAACAGAGTCAGCCCTTTGGGAGGCAGGGACAAACACAATGGTGGCCTTCCATTTGTCTGCATTTAAGGACACCAAGATGGGGCTGGGTTTGTGGGTCAGTGGTACAGGGCTTGCCTGGCATGTGTGAGGCACTGGGTTCAAGCCTCAGCACCACATAAAAAGAAATAAATAAAATAAAGGTATTGTGTCCATCTACAACCAAAAAATATTTTTTTTTTAAAAAAAAGGGACACTGAGACAGTGACAGGAGTTTCACTTTAAGTGTGAGTATGAGTATGTATATGTGTGTGTTGGCAGGTGAGCTCAGAAAAAGGTGTGGAGAAGGACTCATCTGGTTCTTCGCTGATGCCCATATGGTCTCATCTTTCTCTTCTACACTTCTGTTTTGTTTTGTTTTTTCAGTTCTGGAGATTGAACCCAGGGTCGCTTTACCACTGAGCTACATCCCTGGCCCTTTTTATTTTTGAGACAGAGTCTTGTAAGTTGTTTGGGGTCTCACTAAGTTGATAAAGCTGGCTTTGAATCTGTGGTCCTCCTGCCCCAGCATTCCACTGTACCCAGCCACTTCTTAAAGAGCCACATGGCCCCTCATTCAGTTTTTGGCTAACGTATATAGAATGAACAAGACAGACGAGTACTGGCAAGATAACTGGGTTTTGATTGCAGGCACTACTGGGTAACACTTTTGGAGCTGTTTACTTGTATGGTGCCATCAGCTTTTCCAGCTTAGTGACCCCTGCAAAGCAGCCACACAAACACACAGCCAAAGATATTTCCCAATGTCTGGATATCTGCATTGACAGATGATGTAGATTAGAGTCTAAAGGTCTGATTAAATGTCTTGAAACCTGCTCTCTAGTTGTATATCTGTTAAGATGGAAGTCACCAGGAGTTAAACCACAAATCTCTGGGCTTCAACCCTAATCTACTGAAACCACATGTTTGGAAGAGAGGTGTGGTGATCTACATATTTAACAAATTCTCCAGGTGATGCCTTTCATCAGGGTTCTCAACCCTGAGGGTCTATGCTCAGTTCCATTCTTAGTGGTCCAGAGGTTCAGTTATTATGTAATGGAGCTCCTCGTGTGATCCTCATAAGAAATGAGGAGTCATTCTGGGATGCAGTGTGAGTTGTGGGCCACACATAGGATGTCTAGGTTCAAATCTGAGCTCTGCCATTGCTAGCTACCTGTGCAAGGCCAGGCAATGCATTTAACTTCTCTGAGCCTCAGTTTCCTCTGTTCTAAAATAGAAATCACAATGTGACCTGTCTACTAGGATTATTTTAAAGATTCAAGAGCTAATTGTGTAAAAGGCTCGGCACATTGTAAGCACTCAGTAGATTTTAGCTTTCATTGTTAATCTCACATGTGGCCCCATGTTAACAACTGGGGTCACAAAGATTAATAAATATGCCACTCCTGTGCTCTTGGGGTTGGTAGCATGAGCAGAGCTGCCATCTCTCTGGAGATATAGGCAAGTTAATGGGTAATCCATGGGTTGGGGCTATGGCAGCCATAGGAACAAAGTGTTGAGCTCAGAGAGCATGGTTAGTGCCTATTGAAGGAAAGGGCAGTATCAGGAACATGAAAGGCAGGCGACATTTGAACCAAGGTGAGAAGAATGAAAAAGATCTGGCCTGACTGAGAAGGGGAGCAACCCTGTAGGGAGAGCAAAGGGAACTGTGAGGTCACCAAGAGATTACACTTTTGAATAGCTGGTTTTAGGAGATAAGCTTTGAAAGCAGGTAGGGATCAACTTCTGAAGACCTGTGAAGGTGAATTTAAGGGTGCTGGTCTTTTGGGCAATGGAAACCAATCACCAGAGGATTTCTCTGTTGTTCAGTAACATCATGGGATTTCCGGTTTAGAGCAAAAATCATGACAGTAGCATGCAAAATAGGACTGTGGAAGGTGGGGCAAAGCCTGGACTGGACATTTCAAACATTCATTCAGCAAATATTTTGTGAGCATCTACTAATGCCAGGTACTAGGTGCTGAGCTACAACCATGAACAAGATAGAATTTGCTGCTACATCTAGAAAATGATGGCAATAGCCTGGTGAGTGAGGGGGAAGCCTGACAGGTCCAGCAAGTATGGGACAGGAGAGGAGGGGGTGGAATGGGAGAGAGACTGTGGAAAGCCAACCAAGAGATTTGGGAACTAAAAATCCAGATAAGACTGAAACCTCAAAAAAGAAGAAAATCACACGAACAGTTTGGCACCAAGGGAGTGCACGATGGAGACACCACACACTCCAACCTCTCTGCCTTCTTTCAACCTCTTGGTTTCTCCTCTGTTCCATGGAAGGAACTTTGAGCATGCCAGGCCATTTCCTCTGTTTTTAAATTTCTTCATGACTGGCTCTTTCTTATCCTCAGAGAGGTCTTTCTTCAGTGACTGATGACTAGGTAAGATCTTCATGCAGCCCCACCATCACAAGTGATTCTCCAGGACTCTCCTGTTTACACACTTTGAGGTGTTCGTCACGAGTGTCCCCCAACCAAGACACAATTCCATGCAGGTAAGAGATAAACTATTTGGTTCATTGCTGTTCCCTGGCACAGTTCCTAGCCACAGAAGGAAGTCAATAAATATTTATCAAATGAATGAAACTCTATCCAGATATCTCTAGAAAGTTCTGCCATCACTTATCATGAGTAGAGGAGCAGAATGACTCTTGGGAGTGGTGCCATTCGGGACTTGATGGTGGCTATCGAAGGGCTGAGCAGTGATCTTAGAAGAGCCTGCTCATTGGCTCACAAGGCTTCAGGTGAAAAAGACTAACCAAGGGAAATGCTACCAGAAAATGTCATGAGAGAGGAATTTATAGGCCATAACACATGGAAAAGCTTCTTATACATTCATTTCATCTACTCTTTCTTACCCCTGAACCCTATGTTGCCCTATGGACCTTCAATGCCTTGGTGAATAGGTGTGATACTAAAAGGATGGGGGGGGACTATATTTTTAGTCTGTACTTGTCATTTGGTGTCTAGAGTTGGCTTAGTCTGGAATCTGTTGGTTTGTGAGTGGAATCCATCTAAGCAGCTTGTAAAATGAGTAACAAGCAATCTCACAGGCATCCAGAGCCAGAAAACCAGCATCAGCTGACCATAGAGGTCTGGACAGGGGAATAAATAACTAGAGTTCCTCCCTCCTTCTCTCATGTTGTGTCTCTCTGTACTTTGTCTTCTCTCCAGTTCCTCTCCACAGAGCAGCTCCTACTATTTCCTGGGTCTACTAGACCATGAAGTCTCATGACTTCAACTTGCACCTGGACTGACTCCACATGACCTTCAGTCTATCACCATCCATCAACAGGCTGGCTCAGTCTCTCTTTCTGCAAAGGTAAATACTCTTGGGGGGAGGATTAGCTCAGCTGGTCTAGAAATTGACCCCCCCCCATTGGTCAGGTGTTTGTTTATGGTCCAATCATCTCAGGCAGTATCTCTGTCTGGGGATAGGGAGGTTAGGAAGGGGGAGAAACAAGTGAATCAAATAAAACAAAATGAATGAACTCATGTACCAATCCACCTCTAGATGTACTGTTTAAAAAGTCTCAATGATGTAACAAGAAGAAAAAAAGAAATACTACCATCATTTAATACCAGTTCCTAACATTGCCCAGACCTTAATAAGACCAATGAAGTCTTCGTCAAAAATAGTAATTTAAGTTTACTAAAGCAATATGCTATTCTTTATGATTCAGGCAGGCCCAACTCTAACCTTCCAATGCTTCTTGAAGATTATCCTAAAAATATCTTGAAATTCCCTGAATGACTCAGATGGAAACAGATCAAGTAGCGTTTTGTTTGCCTTAAATATTACATTAACTCTGAGTGATTTTTATGCTTGTTTTTTTAAATGAAATATACTGCATTTTTTATACACATTTGTTCACTATGCATATAGATTGTGTGGTTTTTATATAGTTAACCAAAACTCTTATGGTTAATTCTAGTGCTGAGTTTTTATAAGTCTGTTTCTTTAAAATTGCCTCAGAAAAGAATGAAGTCATGAATCAAATCATAAAGACATCACAGAGTTCAATCAAGAAACAAAACTTAAGGGTGTCATAATTTTTTCTTCCTTATTAATACATCCACAGGGAAAAATAAAGAAAACATTATTAAGAAAGAATATTTGGTCTGGAGGAGTTGATGGTAAAATGACAGTATAATTTGTCTGACCTGAGTGAAATGAAGTCGACACAGCAGCACCTGTCCCAGTTGCCATGCACTTCCATGAGCATGAATTATGACAGAATGTTCTGCGTGGCAATGGCAGCACACTTTAATCACCCATCAAGTCCTAGAAACTCACTGTCAATCACCTTTTCACCATCTTGAAACAGATCTGATGAGCAATCAGGACTGCAGGAAGGAGAATGTAAAAGAATCAGAAAACTGCGTGGCTGGAATTATACAGGGTTTGAGTCCCAGTTTCACAGCTTGCTGGTCATACTCTTGGGTAAGTCACTTAAGTACTAAATTTTATTATCTGTAAAATGAAACTAATAATACACACCCTGGAGATCTATGAGGAATGGATAAAATCAAGGACAAGAAAAGCACCTATAAGTAAAAAATGCTCAATAAATGATAGTTATTACTACTATGAGAAGGAAAGAAACAACAAGGTCCATCAAGGTCCCAGACTGATTAAATTAAAACATTCTGAAGAATGGTTTCTCTTGGCTCCCAGGTGGTTATAGGGTCTGTGCCAAGCCTTTATAATCCTAATCCATGTCCTCTAAGCACAGCACACTGGCTCCTGCCCCTGAATCTAGTTTTGCCTTTCCAGCCCCTTGATCCAAATGCCTTTCTACCTGCCCACACATCATGCCACACTTCCATCCAACGGTGGACTGGGAGTCCAGCTCTCCAAAAGAACCCAGACTGCAGAGTTTGCTGATTTCCAAGATACAAACACTCCCACCATGGCAGATTTCAAGCTACCAAACGTTTAAAAACTGGCTAACAAAATTTCTGATTATTTTCCTTAAGTGTGGGCTGATGACTTCCTTCCAAAGAATACAATGTAAGAAAAATGAGTAATTTTATAGTAAGGAAACGTGACAAACACAACTTCAGCCAGGTACCAAGGTTAACAACAGTGATAAGTAACATGAGCACAGGTACCCTTAACACAATATAAAGACAATAGCACCTCACCTGTAGGTCTTCTTTCTCAAGTCTAAGCATGAGAAAAATAAATCACAGTTGAGAGACATTCTACAAAATACTGACTAGTACTCCTCCAGATTGTAAAGGTCACCAAAATCAATTAAAGTCTGAGAAATAAATTGTTGCAGTCTAAGAAAAATTAATCACTAAATGAAATGTCGTTTCCTAGATGAAATCCTGGACCAGAAAAGGGGCATTGGGTAAAAACTAAGGAAATCTGAATAAAGTATTTAATAACAATGTATCAATTTGGGCTTTTTAATTGTAACAGATTCACCACATTAATGCAAGATGTTAATAATAGGCAAGGCATGGTGGCACACACCTGTAGTCATCCCACTGACTCAGAAGGCTGAGGCAGGAAGAGCACAAGTTCAAGGCCAGCCTCAGCAAATTAGTGAGGCCCTAAGCAACTTAGTGAGATCTTGTGCCAAAATAGAAAATAAAAAAAAGGCTGGGGATGTGGCTCAGTGGTAAAAGCACCCTTGGGTTTAATCCCCAGTACCAAAAAAAAAAAAAAGTTAATAGGGGAAAAGTCATGAAGAACTCACAGCAACTGTCTGTTCGATCTTTGCAATTTTTCCGTAAATCTAAAACTATTCTAAAATAAAAAGTTTATGTTAAAATATTCCTGAATATATAAACACAGTTGACTCTCAGAGACCAATGTGATGGGATTGTGCATTCTATCACATCCGCTGAGCTCAGCTGAGCCAATGCCTCTCAGCAGAACAGGAGGCCTGGGGGTCAGAGCACAAGCTTTACTCAGCTGTGCAACCCACACCTAGTGCAGCTGGGGGCACAGAGTAGTGCATTGCATCCCTCCTCTGAACCAAAAGACACCTGGGAGTAATTCACCAAGCACATTCAACTTGACTCTCTTGGCCTTTCTTCCCATCTGATCGCTGATGGAGAATTTGGCACTAGAGCATAGGAACTCACCAGGCTTCTAACTAGAATGTCTGGGGAGAGTCCAACTCCACTGCTTCCTAGCTGTGTGGTCCTGAGAAAGTTATGTGATCTCTCCGGGCCTCAGTCTCTTGAACTATAAAATGGGAGCAGTAACGGTATCTTCATCACAGGTTCGGGGAATGTTAAGTGAATGAATCCATATAAATGCTTGCTGTAGCATTTGGCACATGGGTCAGCCTCTGGGGGAGTTGGCTCTTGCTGTCTTTACCTGAGTTGAAGGGTCTCACTTTTGTGAAGCACCTACTTTGAGCCCTGGCTCAGCTTCAGCTCACCTCAGTCCCAGCCACCCCCCAGTACAGTCTTCCCTGTTACATCCACGTGTACATTCTGGGAATTCTCTTCCAGACATCTTTGAATCTGCAAACTGCCAAACTTCCCTTTTATTTTAGTTTGAAATCACCACTAGGCATGAATTGGTGAGAACTGTCACACAAATATGTCTCCGTTTACTCATGAACTCAAATATTTAGATTCTGAAAGGAAGTGCAACTTTTTCTTTGCTGTCTCTCTTTTTAGTCACCTTGGAGGAATGGGGAGGCAGGGGATAAAGAACCTCACACAAGACTGGAATCCTGAAGAAACTGCCTGAGGAACTGAGGCAAACCAGAAATTCGATATATTTAGGGCTCCCTTGTGCAAACACAAAAACAAAAATAAAAATACCTCCTGCTGCTTCGACATCTCTATTCCAAGGATGCCCCCCACCATTCTCTTTAAAAACAAATGAAAAAAGCCAAGTGTTGATGACAGTCACTGGGGGCTTGGGGTATGTCTGGTGTAGAAGAGGCCTGTGCTTTCACAAAAGACAGCTCTGTCTTGACTGACAAGCCCTTAAAAACAAAAACCACAAGTAAACTCTGTTGCTGGTGTGTGCACACGCGTCCCACACACAGATGGGTGAATTGGGGGTGGAGTTCCACCAAAGTCTGGATTTGATTTGTAGAATTATGAATTGTGTTGAATGCTTTAAGAAAAGTTTGAGGATTTGGTGGCTATTTGAGAATTAGAAGTTTTATTTGAGGGACATTTAAGGATTAAGAGTTGGCTATTTGGAAAACATTTAGGGCCAGACTCTGTCCTTAGCTATTCCAGGAGTTCCTTTGAGGAAGTTTGAAATTTGTTAAAAGAGAAATTTGTTCTTGAGATTTGAAAGTTGCGATAAGTGAGGGCTTAACTATGAAGAAGAAAAAAAAAAAGATAAGAGTCTCACACTGCTTGATGTTTTTGCCCTGGGCAAAAAAAAAAAAAAATAAGATTCTATATGCAGTATAAGTATTTTAAAAACATAATTATACTAATTTCTGGACCAGGAAAAATTAAAATTTTTTTTCCACTAATCCAATTGAGGTGCTTAGCATTCCATTGTAATCTCAACCATCTTTGGTTGCTGAGGCTCTATCCATCTTTGTATGTGTGTAATTCCTTAGTATTGTTCGTTCCTGTTGTTTTCACATACATATTTTGGAGTTTTAGAGTTGTGTTCTTAGTAATTCATAAGTCCTCTTTTTTGTCAATTACAGCATTATAGTTCTAGATAGTAGTTGGGATCATTTTGACAAAATCATACATGCATGAAATTTGATTTATTCAGTTTCAGTCCCGGCCACCCGCACCATCTTCCCTCTTCTCCTCCCTCCCCCAATTCCCCTTTTTGTACTGACTTTCCTTTTGCTTATTTGTTTGTTTGTTTGTCTTGATTGGTGCTTTCTACATATATATAAAAGTGAAATTCTCTGTCATATATATGTGCATGTAACATGATTTTGTTTAATTATCTCCCCATTTCCTCCCTTTTTGGTACCACCTCCCTCCCTCTCTATCTCCTTCTGCTCCCCTGATCATCCCTTTATCTTTATGATATCCAATCTCCACCTTCTATAGTCCTCTCTTTTTAAAATTATGGAATATTTCAGACACACGGAAAAGGAGCACAGAGTTCCTTTGTAGTTTTCCTGGACCCACTTCCCATGGCCTCTTGCAGAGGTAACCACTTACAGTTGCTATATATCTTTCCCTTCCACATTTTAATATTTTTAGTCCTTGGTCATCACATACACACACACACAGAGTACAGATTTGTGAGTTTCTAAACTTTGTGTGACTATTAACATTCGAAACTTAGCATTCTGCGTCTTACTTTCTTTAGACTCTATTGTGTATTTTGACAAACTGTAAGAATCAGTTCATTCATTTTAAAGGCTAAATTGAGTTACACTGTATGAATATACCACAAGTTATTTTTCCACTCAGAGGGAGCACTTCATACGATGATATATATACCCACACATACTCTATTTCTGGTTAAAGGGAAAACGTGCACACTCATAATAGAAACATATTTCACCATGTTTTCTTATTTTAATTATTTTTTTGGATAGAAGTATAAACTTTTTAGTACAGTTCAATCTGTTTATTGGTCTCTGTGGTTCCTTTTGTTGCTTCAAAGCATACAATGTGGTCACACTTGCCAGAGAGCTAAAAAGTGTTGATTCGTGCTTTCTTGATTTTTTTCTATGATTTTTCCTTCCTTTTAGCTCAATTCTTTAGTTACACTTAACAGGGGTGGGGAGGTGCAGCTGGAAGCACACACATAAACTCCCTCCAAAATGTAGAGATCAGTCATCCTAACAGGCTTTATTCAGTTACACTACTCTTTGGTTACAACTTTTTTTAAACCACATATTATATTCTTTTTCTAAATCTTTTTATTTGTTCTTTCTAGTTATAACATGATGGTGGAATGTAGTTTGACATTTTATACATACATGAAGTGTCACTTCCCATTCTTGTGGTTGTACGTGATGTGGAGTTACACTGGTCGTGTGTTCATATATGAATATAAGAAAATTATGTACCATATTCTGATGTATGCTAAGCTTTATTTCTGCACTTTCTATTTTATTTAATTGATAGCTATGCTTAGTGCTTCTTCAATATTTGGATCCTGTTTTAATTATGCTGTTTTCAACAATATATTTTCAAAGCTGGCAGTCTCCATAGCTCCTCTTCTTTAAAACATTATTTGATATTCCTACTCATTTCTATTTTTATTAATTTTATGAAAATTTCAGAGTTTCAGGAAAATTGTATTGAATTTTTAAACTGGAATTGTATTAAAACTACACATTAATTTGGGGATAATTGACATTTACCCTGTTGATGCTCCGTGTCAAAACAATCTAGTTATTTAGTTATTTCCCCTTTTTCTTTTATTTTTTCAGTGCTGAGGATCAAACCTAGGTGTGCTCTATGACTGAGTGACATCACCAGCCCCTTTTAATTTTTTATTTTGAGACAGGACTCACTAAGTTG